AGAAAATCAAAATATTGGAAAAGGAAATACTCCAAAGCGCAGATGATCGCCTTTCACCTGTTACCAAAGAGCAATCTTCATTGTTTCGCCAACCCATAGGCTCCTCAATGCTGTAGGGTTGAACGACGACACGGACTACATAGGGGAAGGAGTTGAGAAATAGGATATAACGAGAGAAGTGTGAAATAGGTGTACATGCAAATATATCCTTAAAGATGAGGTAAAAGTAATGGAACAGAAAAATGAAAGAAGGATATCATATGAAGTGAGTAATAAATATGTGTAAGAGAAAAGAAATTAGATTGTTATTTATAGGCTAAACCAACTGAGGGAATATTGGGTATAAGACACTGTTAAAACGGATTACAAAAGTTGAATCAAAAAAAGTGAAGTGGTAAAATGAGAGCTAGTGTTGAACACCGCTGCCAATGAGAATACCTCAACCAGTCTACTTATCTTTCTGTAGTTATTTACGATTGAGTATTTGCTACTTATAAATCCAATCCTATAAAATTTCACAATGCTAGTAATAATAAAAACTTCTTCGTAGCTATTTTTAAAAGTGTCGTGACCATATCCGCTATTTTCCCTACAAATATATCAAAGAACGAACAGATGTTTGCTACCCTTAATGTTTCCGTCTATAAAACTCCTAAATAATTGCTGAAAACTTCACTTATTGAGTTTTTCAGTTGAAGGGCATTTTTGTAAACTCCGGAAAGTTGTTCGTCCACATCAGTTTGGATGAACAACATGCAAATCGTCCATATGTCAGTATGGAATAAACAGCTTGCTATTATTATATACTTTTTGCAAAATCCGCCAATAGCGGACTGAAATTGCCATGGAAATGAATTACCATTAGGGAATCTGTTGGGTGGAAACACTGAATCTTACAAAGCTTTCTCCCCCACTTATTACATTTGGTGCTACTAACAGAAACGATGGAAGGAATGTATGCTCGTCCATTTTCATTTCGATGACATTCAAGATGAAAAAAACTTACGTTGCACCATGTTGGCCGATTCGGACTACGGCAACCAGTGGTGCTGGTTTCTCAAGGAAGTTTTGGGAAATTCGCACACTTTCCGAATGAGTTCCTTGAAGCAAGCTTTTCTCCTTGCTCTTCTTCTCAAATTCTAGCTGAACCTGATTAGAAAAACCCGCATCGAGCACGTCCTCGTGCTCTTCGGCTCCGTCGTAGTGACTTAAAGGCACGGTTCGCGATAAATTAAGGCTAAAACCTCTGGATTGTGCAGGGTGAACAGGTAGGCACCCGCAGAGGCTGTACTGTACAAAAAAGTCGAAAACTAGCAACCAGAAAGCAAAACGCATCGATTTTAGGCCCATTGGCACCCAATAGGCCCATGCCGGCCTGCGTCGAACGTGTCATAGTGAAGATGCCACTGTGCTCTCTCACCGGCCGTTTTCTGGTCTCTCTCCTCTCCAGTCACTGTATCGTCGCCTTTTGCAGACCACAATTGATCTTGATCATCTTATGCTCGTCCGGTGATCACGACAATAGCAATAAAGAGGGTCTTATTGCGGGCGGTTTTCGAGCTTCCCTCTTCTTGAGTAAGTCAACAAGCACATTCTTTTTTTGAACTGTATCACCTATGAAGTGTGGTCGCGGGAATTGCCTTTAAGGAGCTCCTCAAGTATTTCCAAACCGCAGTGGCGATATTTTCATTGTCTCTATCGAAAAGCCTGAATGTGAAGAAGAAAAGCAAAAAGGGGCCTCAGCAACGTCTGCATTGTTCTGTGCCGACTATCCTCCCTTATGCAAACATCTCCGACTCTTTTCCGTCTGTGCCTTTCCAGCCATTGCCACGCCCACGCTATCCCCCCCCCCTTCGCGCGCTCGGATATCGATTGCATATGTGTCTGTAGATTCACACTATTAGAAATGGAAGATGAAAAAGGGTTGAGTAGGAAGTGACGGCTTGACTGCTCTCCATTCAGAAGCGGAGCTCGACGCTATTCGGCATGGAAGGAGCATTTTGCATCTTCTCTAGTTGCTTTTGCTAGATCCTGTTGAATTCATGTCACTACTTGGTGAAACCCGTTGACTTTTGTCAAGTGTAAACGGAGCTCCTGGTATTGTATGGCTCCACAGGAGTTTACGGGTCTGCACAAGAGGCATCGGCAGTGATTGGAGGCTACCAGCAAACTGCCCCCACCAAGTCGAATTGCACCGAAAACGTTTTTCAGATAATGCTCCCCATCATATTGCTGCTGTTTGTGACAGGGAACTGCAACCGTCTTTCAAAGGATGAAAATAGTCATCTGCAGAAGACCTGCGGTGTGGCTAGACTGGGTGAGTCGTTCAATGGAAACCTTTTTGAGTCGCTAATTCTACAATAATGTTCTCTTTTTTTCAAAATATTTCGAAAAAATTTGGGTATGCAGTGGCAGCATGGCGAAGATTTCGGCACACATGGGCTAGAGGATAGCGACAGTTTTTCTACCTCTGGCTGTGTGTCGACATATTGGTGCCAGCGTATGTGCCCCCCCCCTTTAAGAATAGTGCGGGCGGAGCCGGGAGGGCACCTGCGTGTCCCTCCAACCCATGGAATACGTTCTGCAGGCTCATCCTTGGAAATGAATGTGGACGTAATGAATATTGCATTCAGAATCTTCCTCAAAATTCAAAATATTTGGAGGAAGTCTCGTAAGACCAGGCGAATACCCCTGGATGGTCAAGCTGGACGTTCACAGAGATTTTGGAGGTGAGTCTTTTGTTATGCTATTGAAATCGTGTGTGGCTCGCTACTTCATCGTGGCGGTATGGCGCGCGCTGGGCAGAGCAGTTTCTAGCTTTGAACGGACAGTTACAACCACAACGAGAACGGTAGTAAGCTTGAAAGACGTAGCGAGAGTCGGCAGAGTCAAAGCGTCGCAGCACTGCCACGTTGAGTGTAGTGGGTCCTGGTGCGAAATCTGTTGGAAACCCGATTTTCAAGATATAAAGCGCATTGAGCCGCATGGTCGAGGCAAGTGGCAATGGTTTCGAGCACAGCAACTATCTCGTTAACTTTTGCACGGTCCAGTGACCTGAAAAAACATTTGCAGCGTCCGAGGCAAAAAGTGCGCCCTACTGCTTGCGGGCCTTATAAGGGTATATCGGATTTCAGTTTTTGCTCCATGATACTCTCAATAGCAATGTACTAGGGGAAGAGGTTCACGCCGTTGGTTTTCACTAATCGGTCCGTGACTGGTTTATGTTGGGACAATAACTA